GATCTATTACAGGCACTCTTAATACTGAAGCCAGTTGCTGTAAGTACAACAGATGTAATTGATCTTCAATTACTTGCCACAGGTAGTGGAGCTGATGAGTTTGAAATTTTGACTACAAGGCAATAATTGGAATAGGCTAGTATAGAAAATATAAATACTGGAAATGATGGTAAGAATTCTGTAAGTGAATCTGATTCAGATTCTTGTATATCAGGTGATTCAATCTATTACAAAAAATGCCAACTTTATAGCTTTTAACTGAGGCTTTGTAGCCTATTAGGCAATAGAAGTATATTACTAAAAGCAAGGATTTTCTAAGCTTACTTAGTTAAAAATAAAAAAGGTCCAGCATATAACACTTGCATCAGCATTATTAAATAGTAGTGGAACTAGCTACTATGACTTGGAAGTGGTTATTATTATGGGAGGTCAGTGTTGCTGGGTAGGTTAGGGGACTTTCTACTAGAAAAAAGAAAAAAAAGGTCTAGGGTATCATACTTGCTTGAGCATCACACTTGCTTTTCTTAACTATGAGCGACAGCAAAATAGGAGGAGAACCGGCTATTATAATAATTATAAAATTCAATTTCTAGAAAATTCATATATTACTTACAGGTTATATTAAAAGATATTCATAAAAAATAGGCTACTTACTAATAATAAGCTCATATGAGATAAATTCCAAGAAAATAATTATTTCTAATATAAGAAATATATAAATTTAAAAGCTTTCTGAAAATTATGAACTTACAAGCAAATAGATATAGCCTTAGACTTATTATAGCAATAATCTACTAAACTATTCTAGATTCATATAAGACTTATCAAAGGCTTATATGAAATTAATGAATTTTTATAAAGTATTTACTAATAAGGAAGAATGAGTATTCTACTAGGTATGATAATCCAAGTAGTTAATTTAGAAGTTGTCCTAAATTATTCAGTAGTATGTCAGAGCAGAGTTACTCTACCTTTGAATTAGAGTAACCATACCTTAGAAGTAACTGGTTATAGGAGACTTCAAGAGAATTTACTAGATTGTTTGTTATACAAAACTATATTGACTACCTGAATCTCAGGTTGTAGAGATAATTCCAGCATGAGTAATTGAGCTCAGAACAAGCTGTAACTTGGAAGTGTAGTGACTAATACCCCCTCTAATTCTATTATATGTCCCTAGTATTATAGGTTATAGTCTAAAGAGTGGCTGTATGTTTAGCTAGAGTCTACAAGTAGAGATAATCCTATAACACTATATATACTCATTCTTTCCAGTCAACTATAAACTGTCTGCAAGATTTATAAGGAGGTAGAGGAGTATCTGGAGTATATTCTTCAAATGTTTCTGTATAAAGCAGACCAAAACTAATAGAGTAATACTACTTTGAAGTTAAAAATAGTATATGAAATTATCAGAAGCCTATGGGCAAGGGAAGCGAAGTCTGTTATCCTGAATCTGTAGTATTACTGGTGAATTGTCAATGACTTTAAGATACTAGTCTAAGTTATGATAAGACCTACTTCTAGGAGGATTGACTGTAGGTAGTATCTACCAGTATTGGTAGTCAACCTTTAAAGAGATTTAGCAGAAGAGTTATATAGCTATCATTTGGAGATAAAATAGAAAAAAGAACTAGATAGATTCAGGAGCTATGAAATCTTGTAGAAGACTAAGTATATATGGATGTAACCAGTACGGGTACTCGGTTATTGGTTTTGTTTTATGTTTTGTTTTAAGTATCGCTTTGATACTTAGTTTGTTTTAAGTATCGTTTAATACTTGGTTTTGTTTTATGTTTTGTTTTAAGTATCGCTTTGATACTTAGTTCGTTTTAAGTATCGTTTGATACTTGGTTTTGTTTTATGTTTTGTTTTAAGTATCGCTTTAATACTTAGTTTGTTTTAAGTATCGTTTGATACTTGGTTTTGTTTTATGTTTAGTTTTAAGTATCGCTTTGATACTTAAGGAGTTTTACCAAAGTGTATCGATTGATACCTTTGATTAGTTTCGTTCATGCTAGACATGAACAGATTTGTGTATTTAAAGACCGCCTGTTTCTACGATAGAAAAGGCAGACTTCGACAGACAGTATTTCAATATACTTGGTTGAACGGTTACTTCTTTGTTCCTCAGTACACCCTCAAAGCCTCCTTTAGTTCTCAGCTCTCGCCTCCTCTCTGGAAGAGCAGGCCACCTGCCAACTATCGTATCTATTACCGATAACGTGATTAGCATCTAGCGAACACTTTACAATGGATAGAGAGTTCCATAGTTGGTAAAGCATTTGAGTTCACTTGAACACAATAGCTTACTACTAACATATTTATAATATGAAGAGTTCCTACTCCTACAATTGTATTGAAAATATAGTGGCTAAAATACTTCTATTAGGTAGATATCAGAAAACTATAAAGTAGTCCAGTACACTACAAAGAATGTTTGGTTCAACCTGTAGAAGCAGACCAGACAGCCTATAAGAGTTGAGTGCTCATGCAGCTGGAATAGTAATAGAGAGTAATAGGCAATATATAAATTTTAACTAAGTATATACAAGCTCTCTTCTATTCAGACAATCAACTACCTCTCAAGATCAAGACTTAATTGAGTAAAGCTTTGGGCTTAATAATATTAAGTTTTACTGTTTTTTGTTTTTTTAACTCTACTATTGATTTATATTTATCTTTATTTTGAGAAAGAACTCTTTTAGTGCAGTTGCAATGTTGGGATCCATCTTTCAACAGTAAGCCTTCATTACAATAATATATTTTAGCTAATTTTTAATTTGTCAAATTTCTCTCTCAAAATCCACTTAGAATGCACTCTAGATTCACAAGATATACAGGATGATACAGATACAAACTGGCTTATAAGACATACTGAATATTTTTTTTACTAATTTGTAGTAATATAATACTTATACTTGTACTAAATTTTTAGTAGGTAGACTTTGTAATAACTCTATTTTATGATAATAGTAAGCCTAAGTATACACCTATCACAATGGTAATGCAGCTTTATCTTATTCATAACTTTGTCCAAAATGTCCCATTACTTTTAGGAAACTTTTAATTCAACATAACATAGTACCATCTAACACTATCTACTCCTAACTAATTTCTTCCGGACTACTTGTAGGATGTTACCAGTCATTCCCTCTTATATATCCCGCAAACAGGATCTGGTTGAACAGATGGTGATGATTTATATCATATTATGAGGAGATTGCCAATTTCTTTTTCATTTTAGTATTGGGACAAAAATGACCGAAGGCTAGCAGGTGACTTACACGCTTTGCAGTGGGGCTGGAGGGGTGTATTGAAAGTGTGTTTTTCAGCGCGGTCAATGAGGGTCTGTGTGCATGTCTAAAGAGGTCTGTGCCCTCTAGATTCTGGGTGTGCCTAACAGTTGGGATGTGATATTGAGAGAATATTGAAATAGAAGTGTAACCCTGTGTGGGAAACAAAGTCACACCGCCACTCTGGCAACTTGGTAATCTCGGAACGCTGGAGCAGACTGTACTTTTACTCGTCTCAGGCAAGAAGAATCTGGAAACAGGGACTCTTAAAACATACGGCAAAACATCTATACGCAATACAAAGTCACGACTCGTATTTTCAGATACCTCTTGCCCGGGACGAGTATCCTCCTCATAAGAGGGAACGTGTTTGACCCTGAAAATCTACTAAACAGTTTTATAAAGGTGTGAGGGAATAATTAGGTAATATAACCATGCATAATAAGCATGATAATGCCCAAATCCCACATAAGAAATATCACATGCATAATCTCTGATCATCATTGTAAAGAATAATGAAATAACATAAAATATATGTCCTAGCTGTAGTGATGTCCTCAATGTACTACCGTAGCACAAGCACTCAGGAATATGTTTTCGTACAAGACAGGGATTATTTTGCGGGTCAACCAAAATTAACTGCGAAAACACGATCGATCCATTAGAAATTTCAGCAAGTACTATTCCTAAGCACCATAACCCACTCGAGTATCGAGTAGAGCCTTCCCGCAACAAGCTCGAAAGGTGCACCAGCTCCTAAACAGACCTTAGACTATCGTTCAAGTAAATAAACAATTAGAAAGCTCGCCCTTCAAAGTCCAATTATACAAAGACTCTACTCGAGTGCTTGAGCGCAGTATCGTATTCCAGTTCTTGCTGAAGAGCATGAGATGTGACGGGAGTGACGTAGTTTATCGACACCCGTGAGAAGATGGGGTGCAGAAAACCCATTGCGAGTCTGCTTTCCATATAGGATAATAGTATGATATTGTACGAAAAGCCGATCCCCATAACACTTAAGTCATTGCCGCAAAACCCGCCGCTGTGATATCAACTAATTGTGATAGATTGCATGCCTGGAGCCCCCGGAATATCTTTCCGCGGTGCACATGATACATCTCGCCCCGGGCGAGAGACCCTCTGTGGGTTGGGACGGACAATCATGGCAGATCGAATCACTACGAGCAAAAACGAACTATAGAGGTGATCCTACTGCCTACTTAAAATATTCAAAGTGAAGTATCCCTCGTGTATAGGGTCTACATCACATAACCCCACTACAGTCGCACCTCGTTATAAAGAACGCCAAGAGTTGGGGGGGTTTTGTTCGTTATAACGAGGTTTTGGAGTGAATTCCTTATAGCGAGTACTGTTTGTATGGGAGCAGGGGTCTTGATTCCCGTACGATTCATTCGTAATGGCGAGGTTTCTCATACAAAGAGGTCCATTATAGCGAGGTGCGACTGTACTCGTACATCTTCCCTCGTGAAAGAGTAGGAATCCATTAACTAGAACGGAGAGAGATGTATACTACCGTATTTCGCCTGTTAACCTCAAGCATCATAACTACCGGTATTCCACAACCTCTCGCCGAACCTTATAAAACCCAGGAAGCCACACGCTGGTTCCCGCCTTAGTTTTCAAACTGCGAAAAGGGATCCCTTTGACACAAGTTTATATCACAACCCCTGCAGAGTAAACATACATCGGGGAGCCATAGTTGTCTACCAAACGCACCGATGCTCTGTAATTCTATTAAACCATTACCTGCTCTTGAACTATTCGTCACCCCCATTTTCCCGTATTCTACCCCATTGGGATAACTACATCAAACTACTCCTCCCCCCAACCTCAGTACTACCCTGCCCACTTGGCATCTCTCCATTTCGCTGCCCGACAAACTCTGTATATATCCCTTGCAGGCGCTTACGCTCTTGCGGGGAAATACTTGGTCGTGTGGAGTATAGCGAGGACTCAACATGTGACCAGGATATTGTTACTTCTGCGGTTCCAGCGTCCTGCTTCGTCTTTGTTACGGAGACAGAATTGTTGTTGCTGTTGGAGAAGGTAGAATTATTCGAGGATTTTTTTTTTAGGGACTCAAGCTGTAAGAGTTAGCCGGAGCAGGGAACATGGGAAGAATGGTGAGATACCTTTTCTAGAAGGGCTATTCGTTCACGATGCCTACTTGCGCTAACCACTGGTGGAGCCCGACCCTTCCCTTTACGGCTATCCCCCCAGACGAATTCCAAAAAGTCCAATTCCTCCTTAGAATCTTTACCGGCTGCGCCCGCGCCCTCCTGCTCTTCTTCTAGCGCTTCGCGTTTGCGCAATTCTTCACTGATGATTCCCTGCACGGCTTCTAAATGTGCGTTGTAAAGCACCGCCTGCAAGTCTGCTCCGGAATAACCTTCTGTCCTAGCAGCGAGTTCTTCAAGACTAACGTCCGGATCCACACGCAATTTCCCGCCTTCGCCGACGAGCGCGCGGAAGATATCTAGCCGGTCTTCGAGATTTGGCAAGTCACACAGCAAGCTCTTGTCCAAACGGCCAGGGCGGAGGAGCGCAGGGTCGATTAGGTCCGGTCGAGAGGTTGCTGCGAGGACGTACACGCCGTCGAGTCCTTCCGCACCATCCATCTGTGTAAGCATTTGATTTACCACACGATCAGTGACCCCGGTAGAATCGTGACCACGTTTCGGTGCAATACTGTCAAATTCGTCAAAGAATAAGACGCAGGGCTTTGCGCCGCTGGCGCGCTCGAAGAGGTCACGGACGGACTTTTCTGAAGCTCCGATGTACTTGTTAAGGATTTCGGGGCCTTTGACAGAAATGAAATTGAGGCCGCATTCTCCGGCTACTGCGCTTGCTAGAAGGGTTTTTCCGCACCCGGGATAGCCATAGAGAAGGAGGCCGCTGCGGAGGCGTAAGGGGCAGCTAGCAAATATAGGGGCATATTTGGTGGGCCATTCGAGCGTTTCTAGGAGGATTCTGCGGGTTTCTGTTAAACCGCCGATATCTTTCCAGCTCGCGCCGGAGGTTTGTAGCTTTACACCCCGGAGCCCAGCGGGGACGAATCCTCGGAGAGCAGAGTCGAAGTCTATACGCCTGAGGGTTAGTATTGGGGATTCTTTAGATTCGCCTGCGTCGACCATGCGGACGACAGCTTCATGTCTAGCACGGCCGACGAGGAGGACCAAGTCCCCGGGCATATAGCCCTCTGTTTTAGAGGCAATGTCGCGGAGTTCAAGACCTTTCTCTAAGACTCCCGAAGTGGCCCCGACAACGCCGTCTAGTACTGCACGACGACCCTCCTTCGACATTGCTTTGAGAGAGAGTGCTTCGCGGAATACGTGACCGCTGACTACCAGGCTATGCATGCTTTCCTTTGCCTGACAACTAGCTAGGATAATCACACCTCCGCGTCCACCGGCACCGCCAGGTGAGGTGTATTTCCTGACGGCGGCCACGACGACTTCAGCGATCTGCCTCACTCGAGAATTGTCTTGATTTTCCGACTCAGAGGCACATAGTCTGTCGAGGTCATCGAGGAGAAGGATGGAGTGGCCTGTCTTCCCGGCTGCCCATATGGCCTCGGTGAACCAGCGGGAGACATTCTCTTTAACTGTGCCTACACGCTCTTCGGAAAGCTTCGAAAGAGAGCCGGGGTCTATGATCCTGTGGAAATGTGGAGCTCCAGAGAGACGCTTTGCGATGAGGCGGAGGATTGAAGTCTTTCCCGATCCGTGAGCACCTGAGAGCAATACTGAGGAAGAAGATAGCAAATGGTCGGTGACTGAGGAAAGGATGTCGTCAACACCCACAATCGGCTGATCGGAATCAGTTCCCGGGACGAACAACGTCTCCGAAACGACCGCTGGTGGAGGAGTAGGCTTGGGTACAAGTGACCCGATCTCGAGTGGGGGCTTTTTGTCCGCCACCAGAACCCATTTAATATACTGGGGCGCCTCCCCACCCTCACCAGCAGAGACCTCAATTTTGAGGACGCCACCGGCAGCAATCGGCGAGTCCCGAATTGCCGGGAGAATGAGTCCGTCAGTCAGAGCACCCTCAAGCACACTTTCCCCAGGGGAGACCGAAGTCTTATCCTCCTCTATCATGGCCTTCGTCCCGTTGCGTTGTCTGTGAGGGCCCAGAACCTCTTGTAACCTTGCAATAGCCATTTCCTCGAGACGTTTAGTTCCACCACCCCATTTCAACCCGTCCTGTTTCTCAGTGCCGTGGAATGGAAAGACCTTAACTTTTGAAAGCAGTTTCTGGGGTACTTGTTGCGGCGCAGGCTCAAGGCGTATCACGTCACCCACTTGCCCAGGTCGAAGATATAAAGCGGTGGAAAGGAGCTTGGACAATCCTACATGCTTCCCGTCCGGAGCGGAATCCCAAGGACGTACAACTGCGACGATCTTGGAAGCCGGAACCACCTCCGGCGTTGCATCCTTTTTATCCTTTTTATCCTTCTCCTCCTGCTGCTGTTGCTGAGACGGATCTTGGGGAGGAGCTATAGCTGGGGGCCGGACAACCGAAACCACAACATGGGAGACACTCCGAAGGTGCCTCGAAGACATGAGCAATGTAGGATCTAGGTAAACTGAAAATCCCTTTCCACCAGCAGCAACCTCTTCTCTATCCTCACCCCCTTCTGTAACCCCTTCCTCCTCGTCGTCGTCATCCGTCTTCGGAAGATACCGTTCCGCGGGTAACGAGACCCCCCGGAAAAACATTGCTCCCGCACCCCCACTATCACTCCGCTTCTTCATCGAAGTTTTCACGGTACTAGTAGCCGACTTTGCACCCTGGCTCTGTCGGCGCTGCCGCTTCTTCGGCGCAACAATAATCTCGGCTTCCGGAGAAACCTTGGCGAACCCATTCGGGGAGGAAAGAGCATCCTCCGGCTCAACCTTTGTCACTCTTATAGAAGCCGTAGATGTAGGGGATAGGTAGACAGAGATCGGATGCGCGGGAGAGACGCAGCGGATCTGCGAAATAAGATTTAATTCCAGAAAGTCCGCATGCAGCTCTATTATCTCCCAATCACTCGCAGTTAAGGGTTCGATATGAAAGGTGTGTGCTGGGGTAGGGTCCAAATGGAGGTGAATAGAAACCTGGTCAAATCAACATAATACCTTATGTGTGAAGCCCCAACATGGCATTTCGTAGAGTGGAGCGAACCTTAGATCCTTCAGACAACCCCACATTCCTAGCAAATGCAGGATCCATCTCTACCACTGCCTCCTCTGACCTCCCCGATCCCGCACCCGGCTTCCTTTTACTCTGCATTCCCGTCCATCCGGCATACACGCTCCTGGTAGTTGCAGCGGTTGACCCTCCCCCAACAGAGGCACGGAAGGATAACTCGACAATAACATTCTGCGCTGGAGTATTTGCAGAAACCAGTACGTTAACAAGCGCGACAGGAAGGTTGAGAAGGCAGTTCTTCAGTGGAGTCAAGGAGACAATTGCGGGGGTAGCAGGGGGTGAGGGCTTCCGGGACATGGTTGTTCGTGGGGAATTTCAAAACAATTAATTATCGTTGAGACCCGTTGCTCGGGATGGCCGTGATTGTACTAGTACTGTACTCAGTAAATTATATCAATAGTGCCGGGGGTGACAGTTAAGTATATTATGGGGGGTGCCAGATATTGGAACAGAAGATCAATGATGTATGGTAGGTAGGTCCGGTGGTTAAAATATTAGGAGAAAGCTCTCCCACTGTAGCAAACCTGGGGGTTTCTGAATCCCCCCAGACCTGAATCCCATCTGCCTCGGCTGTTGCTGAATTCAGGAGAGAGGACGTTGACGATCGAGTTAGCTTACGTAAGCAAACAGTATTTTCCCCAATCAGGGCAATTGTGGGGCTGAAAGAGAAATTTACCCCTATTAAATACAAATCAGGTAATGAATAAACAACGCGGCAGCAAGAGCCCAGCAAACGCGAATAGAGCCCAGCAAACGCGAATATCTCTCCATCCAGTTGGTTCGCGAGAAATAGCAAAGTTCCAGTCAGGCCCCTCCCTTCGATCCCTTTGCCCAACCAAAATCCTCACCAACCATCTCATCCTCTTCATCCCCCACTTTAGCAATCCATTGAGGTCACAAAATTTATATATACAACAATAATGTCTAAGCTTCCTGTTATCAAGCTATCCGACGAAATCGATTATGACAAACAACAAGGTTTGTTTTCCATTCATTGCTTGTTACTCCGCACTTAGACTTACAATGCTTGGATAGTTGCCTTTGAGGCTTTCCTTACAGGATTCAAATCAACACTTTCAACAGAAGAGGCTGCCCGTGACGCGTTATCGAACTTGAACATGGAGGACCAGGACGAAGACCTCACCGATACACCCCGCCGTCGTGCAACGCGCTCTGGTGGAAGAAGCCGTGCAAGAAGACCGAGAGTTGCGGTTCAGGAACCCAAACTAAAGTACATGCTACAGCTCCAAGAGATTGCAAACAGAACACGGGATTCTATCACTATTGAGTTGGATGACTTGAGGAGTGTAAGTTCCTCTAGTATCGGATATAAAAAGGCTGGGCTGATATAGCGAGTGATAGTTTGAGGATTCAGGTCTTGTTGAAGAAGCAGTGGGATTAGTCAAAGCGGTGGACAAGAATGCTGCTCATTACATTGAGATCTTTTCGAGGGCCATTGATAAAGTTATGCCCCCGGAGACTGTAGACACTACGTATGTTACCATTTCTACTCGTAGGCCATCGGGTGCTAAGAGTGCTTTAGCTACAATGACGATGTCCTTGACGTTATCCTCACACAACGTCGCAATCGCAATGCTACCGCGGATAGTGATTCAGCCGACCCGCTCTCGCTCGACGCTCCCCCCCAGCTCTTCCCCGCGATGCTTACCCGTCGCTACCAGGTGTATTTCAAGCCTTTGACACCATCAGGCGACTCTGGTAACAAAGCGCTTGCAGTGCGTAATGTTCGTGGTAGCCATCTAGGTCATTTGATCACCGTTCGTGGTATTGCAACCCGTGTGTCGGACGTCAAGCCTACTGTACTCGTTAATGCATATACCTGCGACAGATGTGGTTGCGAGATTTTCCAAGAGGTCAAGACCAAGAGCTTTGCTCCATTAGTCGATTGTCCTTCACAAGAGTGCAAGAACAATGATGCGAGAGGTCAGCTTTTCATGTCGACTCGTGCGTCCAAATTCTTGCCATTCCAGGAAATCAAGATTCAGGAAATGGCAGATCAAGTACCTGTCGGACACATTCCCCGAACCCTCACAGTGCATGCCCACGGTTCTCAGACAAGATGTGTCAACCCTGGAGATGTCGTTGATATTGCGGGAATATTCCTACCAACACCATACACCGGCTTCAAAGCTATCAAGGCAGGTCTATTAACAGATACCTACCTTGAAGCCATGCACTTTGAGCAACACAAGAAACAATATGACGACATAGTGATCGATACCCGAACTATCCAACGTATTGAAGAGCTCCGAGAACAAGGCAACCTCTACGACACCCTTGCCAAGTCCATTGCCCCCGAGATCTTCGGTCACGAGGATGTGAAGAAATGCCTCCTCCTCCTCCTCATTGGCGGTGTAACCAAAGAAATGGGTGATGGAATGAGAATCCGTGGTGATATCAACGTGTGCTTGATGGGAGACCCCGGAGTGGCCAAATCCCAGCTCCTAAAATACATCACCAAAGTCGCCCCCCGTGGAATCTACACCACAGGTCGTGGATCCTCTGGTGTCGGTCTCACAGCTGCCGTCATGCGCGACCCAGTCACAGACGAGATGGTCCTCGAAGGCGGAGCCCTGGTACTAGCAGACAACGGTATATGCTGCATCGACGAGTTTGACAAGATGGATGACTCGGACCGCACAGCGATTCACGAAGTCATGGAGCAGCAAACCATCTCTATTTCCAAAGCCGGTATCACCACATCCCTAAACGCACGTACTTCCATCCTGGCGGCAGCGAATCCCCTCTACGGCCGCTACAACCCCAAGTTCTCCCCTGTGGAAAACATCAATCTCCCTGCCGCCCTCCTCTCCCGGTTCGACATCCTCTTCCTAATCCTGGACACCCCCACCCGTGAAGGCGACGAAGAACTCGGCCGTCACGTCACATTCGTGCACATGGAGAACCGCCATCCAGAAATGGACTTTGAACCCCTGACCCCGCAAGAAATGCGCATTTACATTGCCCAAGCTAGGACCAAGCGCCCCGTCATTCCTAAGGAAGTAGCAGACTACATAGTCGGCGCGTACGTTAACACGCGTAAAGCCGCGAAGAAGGCGGAAAAGGACAACAAGTCCTTCACCCACGCATCACCCCGTACCCTCCTTGGCATCATCCGTCTCTCCCAGGCACTCGCCCGTCTGCGCTTCGCCGACACAGTCGTGATCGAGGACGCCGACGAAGCGCTTAGACTCATTGAAGTGTCCAAAGCTTCGCTGCAGGAGAAGAGCGACTGGGATGAGGACAATACCGTTTCCTCGAAGATCTACAACATCATCCGAACCCTGGCCTTTGGTGCGGGTGACGGCAGTGGCGAGTTGAATATGAGGAATGTCCGAGAGAGGGTTTTGGCGAAGGGTTTCACGGACGATCAGTTGGCCGACGTGATAGATGAGTATTCCGCGTTGGATGTTTGGCAGGTAGCTGGGGAGGGTACTAGACTCGTGTTTGTCGGGGCGGAAGTTGATGCTGAGGAAATGGATGTCGACATGAGTTAGTTTTTAGTCTCTTTCTCCTTTTTTTTTGCCTTTACCGCCCTCCCCATATCCTAAGTCAGTCTGGGTTACGCGCGGTATACTCGAATGTGTGACATCCTGTGCCCGAAAATACAATGACATGATAGATGATGACTAGTCTTTCTTAATCTTTAACGTAAAGGCGAATGCACATGATCACGATACCTATCGTACCCAATTCTCTACGATGGACCGGCATAAACCCCAAACCACAAATAGAAATATTCTAAAAGTGAAAGGGAAAAAAACAGTGTTTACTTGCAAGCTTCCCGCTATTCCCCCTTATGCTGCGGCGGTGGAGGAGTACCCCCAATCGCAGTAACCGCAACCACACCCGTAGCATCAAACGCCTCCCTCCCCGGCAAACAAGTATAATAAATTTGATGGAATCCCTCCCCGCACCCCCGCACCGCCGCAATTGCAACAATCCTCATCTTCCCTCTATTTTTCCCCGGTTGTCCTGTTGGCGCCGTCGCACCTTCAAGCCCCAGTGCTATCTGGTAACTGCGATTGTCCAACCCCACTAGCCGCAAGCCCATAACCCCCTTGGGCAATTCAAGCGCATGCACCTTGGTATGATAGCTAATGCTCTCACACAGTTCCAGAATCCGGAAACAGCACTTCAACAGTATGATCCGCAGGCGTGGAGCATCCTTTCCCAATATCCGCCACCAGAATCTCCGGCAATGCACCGAATTTCGTGCTGCAGTCGTATGATACCGTAGGAGGTGCTAGCCTAGCAGCTAACTACCACCCCAGTGAGTCCTTGTGCCCTCTAGGGTGAACTCCTTGGGTCGTGCGTGCAGTCTATTTTTCAGCTGGGTTGCCTTCGAGTTTGCCGAGGGGTGCCTTCTTGATGTGAAGACAGCTAAGGGAACTGATGTGGACCACACCTGTCGCAGGTATATGCGTTGACGAGTACAGTAGGGCTTGACATCCGACACAGGGGTTGCAATACCACGAACGGTGATCAAATGACCTAGATGGCTACCACGAACATTACGCACTGCAAGCGCTTTGTTACCAGAGTCGCCCGATGGTGTCAAAGGCTTGAAATACACCCAGTAGCGACTAGTGAGCATCGCGGGGAAGAGCTGAGGGGGAGCGTCAAGCGAGAGCAGTTCAGCTAAATCACTATCCGCAGTAGCATTACAATTGCGACGTTGTGTGCGGATAATGTCAAGGACATCGTCATTGTAGCTAAAGCACTCTTAGCACCCGATGGCCTACAAGTAGAAGCGGTAACATACGTAGTGTCTACAGCCTCTCTCCCTGGTATAACTTTATCAATGACCCTCGAAAATATCCCAATGTAATGTGCGGCATTCTTGTCCACCGCTTTGACTAATCCCACTGCTCCTCCAACAAGGCCTGAATCCCCAAACCATCACTCGCCATATCAACCCAGCCCCTTTATACCCGATCCTAGAGCAACCTACACTCCCCAAATCATCCAACTCAACAGCGGTAGAATCAGGATCGTGCTCTTCTTTCTTTCTCCCTCTCCAAGATGGTGAATGCAGTGCATATTGTTAACTCATTAACATATTTGAGGGAAACTCACTGTTTCCACGACCTGCCACCGGAAAAAAAATAGACCTCAAATAATGTATTATTGCTATTGAAGTTGCTCTCGCTGGCAGATCTCCAGAACCGTAAATCCGAACTGCCCACCTACTTGCTCGAGTGATATGGTGTGTTTCCGGGTACACCGACAGTGAAACATCGCATTCTCTCCTGGAAGAGCCACCGCAAGGACACCCCTTCTTTCCCCCATCTTCCCGATACTGAAGCAGTGATTTTATTTGAACCATCGGACGAATGACATTTCATGAAATATTGACCGGCACTTCCTGCTTCCTCCTACCCCCCTCGTAGCACATCTGCTCCAAGACCATCCACCAACCGGGACAGCTCTCCCCCCCCCTCCCACAGCTCCTTTCACAAACTTCTCCTAGTGTCTCATTAGTTGGTCTATCTCATTTGGTGAGATTAGGTCTAGAGTGCACATGCCTTCGGTCACTTCGAACGAACTGAAAGCTCCCTACACTTTCACGCTCGGTGGCCCTCGGCATAGCCACTCCGCCCGAACCAACACAACCAGGAAGAAACACAACGGAAAAGCGCCTAACGAACCCTAAACAAAACACTGCCCAGGAGCGGACAGAAACCCAGAAATCATATTTAACGATTACTAAAATCATAGGTAATCACTCGCAGGTGATCCTTTGTTGGTGTTGAGAATTACTCCTCTGGGTTGATATATCGGGAGAGAAGCGCTTAGGCTTCCTACTCACTATTGCGTATGCTGGGTTGTACTGGGTGGTAAGTGGAAGTGTGTATTCTGTATCATTAGTTGTGTGACTGCGTTTGGGTATAACTATATATCGTTCTTGTTTCGCTTAGCTAGCTGCACAACTTAATCAACAATCTTCCTCTGCACAACAAAACCGTCCAATTCGTAACAGTTGGAATGGAAATTATCAGACCGGAGGATGCATAGGGCCAGGAGACAAAAGGCCTAAAAATATCAAAAAAAAAAAAAAAAAAAAAAATTTAGACCCTTTGTCTCTTGACCCTATGCACCCTAGAAAAATTTAAAGAAAGAAAGAAAAATTTTCAGTTATAACTTAGTGCATTGAGCTGACATGTACTGGTATCATAGGTGCGTATCATGCTTGTATGATACGGATATCCCCAATAGCAAGTGCTGAACAACAATTTCGCCCTCAGTATTAGCCCCAGTGGCATGCGGAGGATGTGGAGAGACGTATGATAGTCTTCTGCTTTCCGCCCCAGGATCCTATCAAACTCAGCCTTCATCCCCTCCTCGTACTCTCCTCCCGCCCCCGCTAAAAAGGCCAGCGGCACTTCCCCCCCACCTCCAGATAAGGTACATGCCAGGTCACCAAAGCCCCAAACGGGTACCCGCTCTGCTCCTCTCTAGAGGGGTGGAGACAATTGTGATGTCAAGACTCACATTTCCACTAAGTCGACCAAGTTATCCCACTTTTTCAATTGTGTTAGAAGAGTTGATAGACATGTGTAATTGGGATCGGGAGTGTGTCTGGACTTAGAACTATACTGTGGAGTGTGGTGTCCCTTACACACTGGATGGGATATATGCATTGAGGATTACGTGCTCGCTGCAGCACTGGCCCGGGTTGTCTGAGGAATCACGATTCTCTTCCGCCTCCTTCCGATACTTTGATTCTGTTCTTTCCCTTTTGTTCTCTTTCTTCTCTTCTTCAATAAAGAAAACTACTACGTGCATATTACCGTTTTCACCTCATCAAGTCCACTTCTGCAACATAGTTTCTAGCAAATTGAGAAAAGGTTATGCAATACTTGTAGCAATATCCTGCAGTAGGGGATACCCCAATGCATTGATCTAAGATAGCACATACAAGGCGCAGAGGAGGAGTGAGTGGACCAAGGTGGAGCTTGGAAGGGAGGTAGGAAATATATGGTGATAAACCCCGGTATCTTGCTTCGCACTCTAAACCAACCGAATATACATACGTATGGCGCAAAACTCTCTCGGCGTCTATCATATCATACCAAGGTCGTTGCATCCCGTAATGCTCCTGTTTTACCAGGACTCAAGGCTATATGCGGGAGCAATGGCTTTCACTGATCCCGAGTTCAATTATGGCTTCACTCTCGTTTTTTATACTTCGGTTTAAGTTGAATATATGATCAATTTGATCATTAGAAAATCGTAATATGAAATCTCTAGAACACGAATAAAAGCAAGAAAAAACCCTGACCTAGACATATCCCTACCCCTCCTCTCCTGCCTCCGTTCCTCTATCACCTGCACCATAACAAAGGAAAGACATATTTGGAGGACGCCTTCCACAAACCACGACAACTCTAGAGCAAATGAAATGATCCTCAACATTCCCGAAAGGTGAAGAAACTTCAACCATCGCTCCAATCTCACGAGCTACGTCGCGCAGCCCTAACATAGAAATGCACCTAAATCCGGACTCTTTTAACGTAAAGGGTTCCCCGTCCCTCTGGAATGCCATTGGTAGCGACAGACAACAGGTAACTTATATGGCAACTCAAGCATCATACCAACTCTTCAGGTCAGATAAAGCACTATCCAGAACGGTACCACACCCTTCACCCCACCCAGGGAACACAGGCATGGAAGGGAAGTCAGAATCACTCGAGGAGTCCTGGAAGCTTTTCAGTGAAATCTCCATAATCCTAAACTTATGCTCCTTGAAATCGCTCTAAAGCCATAGACAACACCTCGATTCCAATCAAACCAACCACTTTCCCAACAGAGCGCCAAATCTACAACCCGAACCCCCAACGCTCCCCAGGGATACGCTCCCCACTATACCCCTTCTTCAGCGCACATTCCGCAACAGATCGTATGATAGCATGCAAGTTAGCTAATCAGCCAGTATGCTACAGAATCCATGAACACTGAAAATACCCAACCTGGGACAAAAAAGGCTCGTGCCAAAGCATTGCACCCTTCTTCCATAGATATGTTCCCCAGAAATGTTACTGCTTCCGAGGAGGTTTGGAGTCCGGAACCCCGGTAAGTTCAGGGGCGCCGGGAATGAACCATTATCGCCAGAATATGGCCCCCGCTGTGATCGGTCCCCCCTTTTGTAGAACATAACACTACTCTAGCTAGCCTTTGGGGAGAGATTCCTCTGGACGTCAGTATTTTTTTTCCTTAGTTCTGGGGCACTCAGAACATGTTTCCCCAAGTGACAGTAGGGATTTAATATCCCGTAAAGAAGAGCACTTGGCGGAACGCAGCTGCACTGCAAGGAAGTCGATCGCGGAGGGGATATATTTATCAAGGTGCCAGAACTCATCCGTGTGCCCAGTACCCGGCACTGCTTAGGATTCATTGCAAGGAGTTACCACCTAAGGTGAGCCCGAAAAGTAATTGAAAAGTGGTAGGTTAATCAGCCCGAGAAGATCCGTCGCCACCAGAAGTGTATCTTGAGACAGCACGGTTCTTAGGCAATATATTGTCAGGGGTCCTCCCAGAATGCTTTGGTCATAGTATTGCTACGAACCCTTACCATCTTAGGATAGTGAGCTCACAAATTCCGAGTGATCATACGTGATCTGACTAACCAGCCAAAACCCCTAAAATCTTTCCAAAAAAAAAAAAAAATTTACAATCCCTAACGTAAACTAAAAAACTCAACACCCCACTATCACCCCCACCACCGCCCACCGCAAAACCAACATATATACTACCTCAACAACCATTCACCACCTACCATCGCACAAAACACCAAATCCCGATGCTGACAAAATCCGTCCCCCTCCGCTTAACCTCGCTCCGCATCTCCCCTCCCTTCTCACCGGCAACAACCATCCTACTACACACACATCGCAATGCCTCCACCACCACAACCACCACAACCACCAGTAGCACAAGCCCCATTACAACCGCAACCTCCTCCTCCCAATCCAACGAAAAGCTAGGCTGGGATACCTTCCTACAGCTCCGCAAGCAACGACGCAGGTACAACCTCGTCTCCTCACTCTTCACCAGCGCCCTCGGCACAACCGCCGGCGTCGGCTACCTCGCCAATAAAGAGATCGACCCGACGCAGATGATAATGGGCATGGACCCGATAATCCTCTTCGGGCTTGCTACCGTTAGCTGTGGAGCTCTGGGGTGGCTTGCTGGACCGGTTTTGGGGAGTAGTGCGTTTTCCGTGGTCAAGAGGAGGATTATGGGGCAGATTAATGAGGTATGTTGTCTCTTTGCCATTTCTCCCGGAAAAAATTGGAGGGAGGGGGGGGAGGGAGGTGAAGCATAAGAGGGCTAATTAGAAACAGCGAGAGCGTGAATTCCTCCAACATATCAAAAAGAACCGCGTCGACCCCTCCTTCCAAAGCTTCAGTAATCCCGTCCCAGACTACTACGGGGAGAAGATTGGGAGTATCAAGCAGTACAAGCAATGGCTGAAGGATCAAAGGGCTTATAATCGGAAGAGTAAGAGTTTTTTGTGAAGGTCTCTTTTTCTCGTGGTGCTTTTCTGCAGCCATAGAAGGCGGAAGATGGGTGTGGGAGATGGAAGGGGGGAGGTCGAGGGGCTATTATTGTACAGTTTCATTTTTATCTCTTTAGTCCTTTTACCTTTTTTTTTTTCTTTTCTTTTCTTTTCCTTTCCTTTCCTTTCCTTTCTTTTTTTCTCACACATCACTTCTTACTGCTTTCTGCCGGGTTGGTAAAGTATATATATTCCTTTCCCTCTTTCATAGCTGCTTGGTTACTTGGTTGCTTGGTTGCTCAATTGTCTTTGGATTTGTGAACGAACGAGCCTAGTATCGGAAAGGAAGGTAAGGGCAACAAGTTGGACTCCCCTCCCCCCGCCCATAAAAAAGGAACTATTCTGTACATTATAATATACCAGTACATGGAGCAACTTGCACCCTTTCAACCAGTGAACCTCCGACAACCACAACCAAAAAAAAAAAAAAATATCCCCAGACCATTCCCGCTATGACACCCACCACCCTCCCCGCACTCACCAGCACACACTCTGGCGGCCAATCCATCCCATCAACCGGCCCACCGCAACCGCCCACAAATATGATACCAGTATCATGCAATGCAGTACCAACTGCTAATCCCCAACCGAGTGACCTACCATGACCAACCGCCACGCACGTTCTTAATCATTCCCAGGACGTACTCAAGGACAGTATCGGGGGACCTAAAAAAACGGAATGGAATGGAATGAAAAGTGATCTAGATTGCCATGGTATCCGCATCTCTGGAATAGTTTACTGCATGATGTGGGACGCATCGGCCCAACCGGGTCCAGGAGTTCGCTCCCCCTCTTCCCCAAGGTCATTCAGATCGGATTGGAAGCGCAGGTGAGCAAAGGAGAGGAGGGTGGGCAGTCAAACCAGGTTGAATTTTAAAGCAGAGCAAAGTTTGGCTGTGTGATGTATAATCCAGGTACTGTATCATACAGCACAAACGGAAATGCTCAAAGGGGAAAGGAAAAAAAGTGAAAAAAAAACGGTATCCCTATATAAATCAATATACCAGTATTTATCTAGGCAGTAATCTGGATGTCAATTCAGCGTGTATTTTTTTCTCCCTTCCTTTGAGCTAGAAGAAATCTATTTGCCCAATGACAAGTTGCAAATATTACCAGTACTGCACCAATGATGATATGCAAGATGAAGAATTAACCCCCCCCCCGATATAAGATACTCCTGGTCCGCTCGAGGATTTCACCCTCTGGTCCAACCTTTTCTTTTTTTCTTCGATAAACTTGCATTAATAGTATGCCATCGGAAAAGAGAGTGAGAGAAAAAAAGAGTTTTCTGTTTTTTTTAAAGGATTGTAAAAAAGATGAAAAAACACACGCAATTACACACACCACACATAAAAAAGAAAGAAAAAAGAACAAGCTACCCAGTATTATTTTTTTCCCCTTCTCTCCCTCCTCACTCCTTTCCTTGCCTGCCTTCTCTAGTGCACCGATCCTTCTATTACTCTAGTAAAGTAGAGGGATCTGGTGCTTGTCTCTACGCTGAAATGCTCAAGACAGAAAAAAGAAGCCGACCAAACCCGAAACACAACTATGGAAAAGAAAAAGGGAAGAAGAAAAAAAACCACCCAACCGACCATTCATGATGCAAAGGAAAAAACAAACGTCATGAACCATGAAAGACCCCACAATCAACAACGCCGGGTAGATGTGAATAAAACTTTCCTTCTTTCGTGTGTGTGCCCCTTGGATAGAAAAAAAAAACCCCATGAAAAAATAGTAAAAGAGATAAAAAGCAGAACAGAAAACATTGCAAGCAAAAAAAAGAGGGATAGAACCCTCTCACCCCATAAATCCATCTCATTTCCCCAGGTCAGTATTGCCCAGTCTCAGCAGAACTTGTGAGGAGTAACAAGGAAAAAAAAAAGCAGAAACCCCAGTTGGAAGCCGTCTATACCCAATTGCATAACAACCTGTGTTTCCGAACGCTGCCGACGAAAGACATGAAGAAACGAGAAAAAAGGAAAAAGAAACTTCATTTAGGAGGGTGAAGAAATTGATATAGAGAGGGATCGTGAGAAATCATAAAGCAGTCAAAAGCAAAAAGCCAACAAAACCCCAAATATTGCGCCATGTTTTAAACCTTTCTTTGCTCCCTTTCTCATTAATGCAAGCCGAAACAACCGATGAAATGTTACTTTTTTGTGGCCAAGGAAGGAAAAGGGTCCAAACATACGCAATTCCGCGGGAGGGAGTTACCACCAAGAGGTGTTACCACCAGGGTTGCCGTAGCTTCCACCCCCGTGGCCACCACCCCCTCCTCCGCTGCTGTAGCCGCCGCCATAGCCGGATCCTCCGCTGCTGGGGTAGCCTATCGTACAATGTTAGCAATGTCAATGATCGAAGTAGAGGTACCGAGCAACATACCACCACCACCGCCGCCGCCACCACCACCATAACCATTACTTGAGCCGCCATAGCCGCCATAGCCGCCACCACCGCTGCCACCACCATACTTTCTGAAATCACGGCTGGCATTGCCGCCGCCGCGCCCTCTTCCCCCGCCGCCGCCGCCGCCAGACCTGCCACGACCGCCCCCGGAAAATCCACCCTCCCTAGCAATTGTTTCCAAGAATGAAGGGATTTCCTGATTGGCTTCTTTGAGTAGTTCAATAAGATCTCTAACAACACCGCGATTACCGCGATTGAAAAAGGCAGTAGCAATGCCAGTATTACCAGCACGGCCTGTACGACCAATGCGATGAACATAGTCATCAATATCGGTAGGAAGATCGTAGTTAATAACATGAGTGACGTTAGGGATATCAAGACCTCTGGCAGCCACGGCGGTTGCAACCATAACTGGACAACGACCGGTGCGAAACATCTCAAGAGCGCGCTCACGCTCGCGTTGTGTACGATCCCCGTGAATCGACGTTGCCGGGAAATTTTGATTAAGCAAGAAATCGCTCAAAGAGTCCGCCATACGCTTGGTTTCCACGAAGATGAGAGTAAGGCCACCGCTATGCGTATGGAGAATGTCCAAGAGCACAGAACGCTTATCCTGATCCTCGACATACTCGACCTTTTGGGTAATGTTTTCGGAAGTAGAACCAACACGACCGACAGAAAGGAAGATATAATCCTTCAAAAAATCTCTAGCAAGCATCTGGATGTCACGGGGAAAGGTAGCAGAAAACATGAGGGTCTGGCGAGCATCAGTCTTGGGCATATCTTCACCCTCAACAATCCGACGGATCTGAGGCTCAAAACCCATGTCCAACATGCGATCAGCTTCGTCGAGGACAAGATACTTGATGTTTGCCAATGATATACGACCACGTTCAATCAGGTCAACCAGACGTCCAGGAGTAGCAACCAAAAGGTCACAGCCGCGCTCAATCAAACGCAATTGAGATCCAATGTCGGCACCACCATACACTACACAGGGGCGAACCCACGAACGGTACGCGAATTTACGGGACTCGTCATAAATTTGAGAAACAAGCTCGCGAGTGGGAGCCAAAATAAGGGCGGTAGGATAGGCTTTGCGTTGACGACCATAACCATAACTAGCACCCGAACTTGCAGGGGCAGAGGAGGGTCCTTGAAGGAACGATTGGGAAAGTATGGGGAAAAGGAAACCACCTGTCTTTCCAGAGCCTGATAACAATTAGCTTATATATAAGGATAGGTGAGGACGAAAATTACCAGTTTGTGCACAAGCCATGAGATCTCTGCCACCCATAACTATAGGGATCGAATATTTTTGCACAGGGGTAGGGCTCTTGTAGTGGGCAAGATCAATATTGGACAACAAATGAGGATCCAAAGGTGGGCTGGTGAACTGGGTGACAGGATCTGGAACATCGTGACCAGAGGCCTCAACCGGGATATCATCATATTTCTCGAAATTGATACCAGTAGCTTGTTTGGTAGGATCATTGGGGACTCCAAAGAGCTCACGCTCAGTACGGGGATTAGGGGGTCCAGGGATATGTTTGCCATCGATCCAACGACCATCTCCGGAACCTCCACGATTACCACCGCTACCCGGATTGCCATATGCGTTGGGATCAAAGGAGCGTTGAGGGCGAGGGGGGGGGACATCCCAATTACTACCAACAGTACGAGGTGCGAAAGATGGTGCGGCGGCCCAGTCACGACCATGAGAATTAGGAGCAGCCGACTCTTGGGGAGTTGGACTAAGCTGAGAATTAGCGCGATGCCGCCAACATCGGACTTGAAGGGTGAAAAGCCAGAAAGTATAGGATGAAAGTATGAATCACAAGGCAAAAAGGAAACCACATTGAAAGTTGAAGGTTAACAGCAAGAAAACATAGGGAAAGAAAACAAAAACTGGTAAAAAAAAATTTAATGACATACCCGTTACTCCATCTGGAGGATTGAATGCCATTTGCTGTGCCATTCTGGACGGGAGGGGCCACGGTAGGCGAGGGGCCGGCGTTGGATCTGGCAGCGCCTCTCAAATGGGGAGGGATATAAGCAGAGGCGGTCGTCTGACCACCGCCCCCAGCAGAATGATTAGAAGTCCCAGAAGACGGGACCCCATCAGTGGCATGGATCGAGTCACCTATGCCCAGGTTGGACATGCGTTGATTAAGTTCAGCCATGATTGGAGATCTTTTTTAATGTTGATTACTTCGGTAAATATTCTCGAATGAATGTGTTTGATGGAATGGAAATTCGGTGTCGAAGAGGAAGCCGAGAAAACAACAATCTGTGAATTATGAAAGAAACCGAGGTATTGTTCAAGGACAAACAAGGACTCCTGAGACTCCTGTCTGCTTTTGAAAGAAGGAAAAAATGGTGCGAAGAAAAGCTGGTATAGAACACCTCCTTCCAGATCGCTCCTGCCTATGGATGTCGTAGCGTCGCAAAGAAAGGAACGATGAAAAAGGACTGGAATCTAGGAAGAGAAACGAAGGAAGGTCAAGATCCTCTGCTCCTCTGGAGTTATGTGTGTGTAGAACTAAGAAAGGGAGAGGAGATACGGTGTTAAGTTCAGAGAGGAGGTTGAGAAGAAGGTGGTTTGTGAAAGAGAGACTGAGAAGGTAGGGGGAAAAAAAGAAGGGTGGGAGGCAACCCGTAAAAAAAAAAAAAAAAAAAAAAAGGCAAAAACAGCAGAGCACTTGGTATCAAAGGGCTGATTGAATACCGGTATGGCAAACTGTAACAATTGGCCGAAATTACTAAGCCAAAATTAGGCGAAGAATGAATTTTTTTCTTTCTTTCCTTTTTCCCCCTTCTAGGAAGAAGACTGTTAAACTGGCCAGCCAACCAGTGAGCAAAGCTTATCGCCTCCCACTGCCATAAGCAGGTGTCGCAGGTGGCAATGGGACGAATCCTTTATGTAGGTTGGACCCCTCTGGGTAAAAGGAGCATAGGTCAAGTAATTGATATGTTTTGTCGAGGGTTGTATTGGTACAAGCACACTCGATAAGGATATGATAGCTCCATATGCGGCTGCCAGAACCCCAAGAAACTTTCGTAGAAAATTCCAACACTGAACCCACCGCCGTGGTGTAGACTAAAGAGAGCAGACAGCTGGAAGCAGGAATCATGCAGAGCCATCTCTGCCTCCAATACTCGAGTACGGGCACTTGTACCATAGCCCATGTTCTTCACACATTTTTCTACCAATCACGAAAGGTCCCCCGCACTCTCACAAAAAGTTCTGATACTTGGCCTCTCTCTCGTTCGTGTCAGCACGCTTATCCCAGTCATGATGGGGAGGGTGGAATACTGCAGAGGAAAAAAAAAAGACAAAGTTTGTGGCCTCCAACGACTGTACGGTAAGCCCTGAACACGATAGATTTATCTCCAGGACTGCTGGAACCATGGAAACTTTTGTGCCGCCCCTATCAGTACTTAAGACAAAGATGACCAAGATACCCCTCCAGTATTATTCAGTGATGGTGAACGTAGGCACGATCACAAAGCGGAGATTAGCTATGGTCTGAAGTTTGCACTCCTGCAAATTTGTAGTAGTTAGCAAAAGTTGCTTATTAACTTGTGTCACGGAGACAGACGGGCGGCACAAATTTTTCCACAGTTTCAGCGGTTCAGGAGATAGTCTACATGATACTCATACCGTGCTTGCCTGGAAACGAAGGAGATGTTTGGTGCGCCATAATTGGTGATTTAAGTTCAGGTCTTGGCACTTTATGAACAAGTCTTGGCGATTTTAACTTAGTTAATTTTATGTAAAATTAATCAGAATTAAGGTTTCTAACTAAAATTATCAAAGTTAAAAATGCCCAGACTAGATATCAAAATGCCAAGATCTAAACTCAAATCAAACACCCCAAGTTAAGGTGTGACAGCCCTCGGGTTTTCGCTTTGGTTAGCACCATACTTGTACTGTACTAGCACAATTTTGCCCCCTCTCAAGCCAGACACAAAAATGGCTCCAAGATAGTAACTTTTGCATTATCGTTACTCCAACCCCGAGGTACTTGTATGGGTTGAGGTATTTACAGTACCGATACAGCATGACAAGTAATGATACCAAACAGTCTCTCAAACCTCCTCCTATAATATAAAGCACTCAAGCCCTATTTTGTGACAGCCGGTCTGCACAAATCACCAACACTTCACCGGGACAACAGTCCTCATACGAGTACAATACTCGTAAGCACTCTTCCTGTCCGAGCACTTAATCACTCACAAGTACCGTGCATATAAGTTGGAGGAGCACTTGGCCGAGAACTGCCGGCCCAAGAAATAGCCTGCTGACTATCATTGTCGATTCGATACAGGAACAGTTCAAGATCGGACGGCCATTTTCTCTCGAGGATTTTTTGCACACCAGTCCTACTGAATCAGTTCAACCAGTAGGGTGCGAGAGCCTTTCAAAAGTTACCTTGTCCCGCACGAGCACAGTATCGTTTGCGTGACTGCAGCGATTGTTCCCCTTGTATTTGTCGTGAAGTATGATAGCAACACTAATACCGTAGCTGCCAGTGACTTGACTCGGGGCAAATGAAATTCTACCACACGACCTGCGCCTCGGCGATCCGAGTGACAGATAGGGCTGCTACCAAAGGGTTTCGACCTACAGAATACCTGAACAAACAAGTGTGATACTATACCGATATCTACAATATCATACGCCTAAATAGTTTGAGGTCAAGGGATGCTCAAACAGCTACCAAGCTCCTGTCAGCATCAGCGTGACTGCTGAAAAAAAGAGAGAGAAAAAGGTATCATAATATTATCATAATGGATAGTTTCTTCGCTAGATTAGATAATGACACCCAAGGACGGATCTCTGGTCACAGAAAATTTTATTGCGGGTCACAGGGTTTTGCCTGCAGCAAGATCATCAGTCATGGACGCCAAGAGAAAACACCGCATACCGGTAATCGAATACTCATACGGTACATGAATTATCTGAACATGAGAGAGAATTAGTTTTCTTGACTCTTGTTTCGCTGGGATAAGTTGACTCTGTGACCAGCTTGTGATCAGCCTCGGTTTTCCTATTGTGACCGAGATCCACTGATGTGAACTTCGTGCCTGCCCTCTCCTCAGCAATCAAAAACATTTGTTCGAGGAGCACCGGTAATGCAGTACCGGCATTAGGGCGCGCTGGTACAAGTACGGCACCGGCACCAGTGCTATACTCGAGTACAGTACCCGTCAGATTTTTGCCAACGCTTAGGCTCATAGAGCAGGGAGGCTTCTCTCCGCTTCCTCGTTTCACCGATTTTTTTTCTTTTGTTTTTGCTTGTTTCTCCTCTTCCACCACCGCTTCTTCACCCCCTTCCTTTTTTCCAACTTCACATTGTCTCTTTTCCTGCTAGTTTACCCCACCAACCGCCTCCCGAAATCCCCGAGTTTTTGGAACTTGTTCTTCGTAATTATCATACCATCGAGTCTACCCTTCACCAAAAAGGCTTCACTATGTTATCTAGCAGATCTTTGACTCAGGTGTGTTTTCCCCAATCACCCTGCACGGCTGGTGTCGTCACGTGTGCGCTCGGATGCATGGCTGACTATTTTTTTTTCTCTGCCATCTCATTTTGATCAATTCACTGACCCATTTTTCGCTTTCCTCTTTCCTTGTCCTTAGGCGCTATTTCGTACAGCAAAGGCCTCAAGTCTTCGCAATGCTGCTTTGCCTGTTACAAGGGGTACGTTCTTGCCAGCGAAGCTCTTGCTGGGAGTGCCATGGATATGCGGGGGGATGAGAAGCTGACGGGCGTATGCAATAGCAATGGCCACTGTTGCCTCTGACCTTGTTAAACCTACCAAGTATGGTGGTAAATACACAGTTACTCTAATTCCTGGTATGAAAAACACCAAGTCCCCTTTGTTAGGGGGTTGTGTTAGGTTGTACTTGCACTAATGGTTTTTCTTTCTTATTTTTCTGTTGATAGGCGATGGTATTGGTGCCGAGGTTACCGAATCCGTTAAGACAATTTTCAAGACCCACAATGTTCCAGTCGAATGGGAACAGGTAGATGTTACCGGTGTTGTTACTGGTAACTCTCATCCTGAAGAACTTTTCCGTGAATCGGTTAATTCTTTAAAGAGGAATAAGGTCGGGCTCAAAGGTGGGATATCTATTGAACTTACCCAATCCTGAGTTTTCATTTTTTTTTTTTTTTTTTCATTTCCTCCGCATTATTATTGTGTGGCACTGCGCACCAGGGAATCATTCCCGATCCTCCTTATCCTTTACATGATGATAAAGAGCCATAGCGCTTGAATAATCCCAGCTCGTTGAGCGGCCTCAACAAAATTACAACGCTTAGAGGCAGCTGTGAGATAGAAATCTGTCCGATACTGTATCCCTTGCTCTCTTATTCTCGCAAATTTATGATACATTTACAGTGGTCTTGGGCCGAACGGCTAACCGGCTTGCTGCAATAGGCATTCTGTACACCCCTGTCGAGCGTTCAGGCCATCAATCGTTCAACGTTGCTCTTCGTCAGGAACTTGACATCTATGCGTCTGTTGTCTTGATTAAAAATATGCCCGGTTACGTGACCCGCCACTCTGACGTGGACATGTGTATTATCCGTGAGAACACTGAGGGAGAATACTCTGGATTGGAGCATCAATCGGTTCCAGGTGTTGTTGAATCACTCAAGATTGTCACAAAAATGAAGTCGGAACGTATCAGCAAATTCGCTTTCTCTTTCGCTACAGCCAATCAGCGAAAAAAGGTCACCTGTATCCATAAGGCCAATATTATGAAGTTGGCCGATGGGTTGTTCCGCAACACTTTCCATGAAGTTGCCAAGAGTTACCCTCAACTAGAAGTCAACGACTTGATTGTCGATAATGCCTCCATGCAGGCTGTTTCCAGGCCTCAGCAATTCGATGTCCTCGTTATGCCCAACTTGTATGGGTCTATCCTTTCCAACATTGGCGCTGCTCTAGTTGGTGGTCCTGGTATCATTCCCGGCTGCAACATGGGAAGGGAATACGCAGTCTTTGAACCTGGGTGCAGACACGTTGGTTTAGATATTCAGGGGCGTGATGAAGCCAACCCTACTGCGTTGATTCTTCCGCCGCTGTCGACCTTAAGCCATC